AGTGGACCGCTCCATCTTCATAGGTCCTTCACATGGACAGATTTGGCCTCCAGTGGACCGCTCCATCTTCATAGGTCCTTCACATGGATGGATTTGGCCTCCAGTGGACCGCTCCATCTTCATGAGTCACTCAGATGGACGGATTTGACCTCCAGTGGATCGCTTCAACTTCATGAGTCCCTCAGATGGATGGATTTGGCCTCCGGTGGACCGCTCCATTCTTCACGGGTCCCTCAATTGGACGGATTAAGCCTCTGGTTGTCCGTTCCAAGTTGTATAAGTTGATAAAAGTAATAATGTAAAAGAATAGAAAGTAGAGATCAGTAATTAGATCAAGTTAAATGATCGGGTTACTGGAGATAGTCATAGACTCCCGTACCGAGGTTGAGGAAAGATAAGATAAGGAAAAGGATTGGGGCTTAAGGATGGGCTGAAGCCCAGCCCATTAAGAACAAGCTACCCAAAAGGAAGGAATCCTATAAAGAGATTAGAGTAGGCCCCCCTCAGTTCGAGGGACAGGGACGAAGAGAAAGGTGGACGGAGATTGTCTATAATTCAATAAGAGCGGAGCGCCCAACCACCGTCGGATAGATATCGGGTGGGGGTTTAGAGGCTCCCAAAGAATATTGAAAAAAGAGCCCCGAGAAAAGCCCTCTTGTAACACCCCGGCCCCCACCCTGGCCGTAAGTGTCCGCTCATAGGATTGTAGACTGGCCCCACAAACCAACACACGTCTTTCCCGCGCACTTTGTCCTCACTCGTGCGCGCCCAAGGAAAGTTCCCAGGGGGTCACCCATCCTAGAATTGCTCCAGGTCAAGCACGCTTAACTTTGGAGTTTCTAGGTGATGAGCTCTCGAAAAGAAGATGCACCTTGTTGGTATGAGTAGTACTATCAATCCTTTTGAGCTCTTCCCATTCCCATCTTAATACGGGGTATTACACCTCTTCCCAGAGGCAACGAATCCCCGAGAGAAGTCCTCTCCCAAGAGGTACCGAGCTCCGAGAAAAGTCCTCTTCCCCGAGGCACCAAGTCCTCTTCCAAAGAGGCACCAAGTCCCTAGAAAGTCCTCTTTTAAGAGGCCCAAATCCCCGAGAAAAGTCCTCTTCCAAGAGGCACCGAGTCATCTTCCCGAGGAACTAAAAAGAAAGAAAAGTTCTCTCTCAAAGAGGCACAAAGTCCCGAGAAAGTCCTCTTCCAAAGAGGCACAAAATCCCGAGAAAGTCCTCTTCCAAAGAGGCACAAAGCCCCGAGAAAGTCCTCTTCCAAGGAGGCACAAAGTCCCGAGAAGGTCCTCTTCTAAAAGGCACAAAGTCCCGAGAAAGTCCTCTTCTAAAGAGGCACAAAGTCCCGAGAAGGTCATCTTCCAAAGAGGCACAAAGCCCCGAGAAGGTCCTCTTCCAAAGAGGCACAAAGTCCCGAGAAGGTCCTCTTATAAAGAGACACACACCCGAGAAAGTCCTCTTCCAAATATGCACAAAGTCCCGAGAAGGCCCTCTTCTAAAGAGGCTCAAATCCCTAAGAAAAGTCCTCTTCCAAGAGGCACCAAATCCCCGAGAAAAGTCCTCTTTCGAGAGACACTAAGTTAAATCCTTACCCACAACGTGACGAGGCCCTCCAAAAAAGAAAGTCCTCTTGTTGAGGTTCCAAGAAAAGTTTTATCCCATGAGGCAACCCACCGAGTCATATAATTTTGAATCTGTCTTGTTCCCCGAGACAGACTCAAAACTAGGGGGGCATGTGATGGATTAGGGATTTTTCCTAATCCAATATTATTTGAACAGTGCAAGAAAGCCTAATTTTATCTGGCCCGAGATATAAATCAGATAAATTATTCAAGACAGAACCAGAGGTATATGGACAGAAGAATATATTTGAGGTGATATAAAAATATTCCGTGGAGCCCATATACAAAACATGTGCACATGGAGGTGACATGGCCACCTCATGGCATTGTTGGGGATGCATGCATGTACTCCCCTTTAAATACAAGGCTACGCAGGACAGAAGGGGGAGGCCAAGACTAGATTCCTACAGGTTCCTACTACTATATTCTTCATTCTTCTTCTTCTTTTAGCTTGGAGCTCCATTAATGACTCCAAGTTCCTACAATGATGTATATGTAAACTCCCCTGAGATTAATAAAAGTTCCTCCCCCTTTGGCATGACACCACCTAAAAAGGCCTGTGGTTTTCTCCCGATTTGGGTTTCCACGTATAAATATTTTCTCTCCACTTTATTTATTTACTTAATTTCCAGTTTTCGCTATTCGGTGCGGTGCCGACCCGGTACTGATTTCATCGCGTCGACGCCCCGAAAAAGCGGTTTCCATCAAGTCCGTTAAGCTTTAATTTATATTGGTTGAAGGAAAGATTTCTTTCAAACTTAACCCTGTATTTTGATTGTTTTCAAGTGGTCGATGCGAGAAAGTGTGTGCTTATCATCATAGTTTTCAGAACCGGACCGGCGATCGAACCGGTCGAGGTACTGGTTCACTAGTTCACTGGTCGAACCAGTAGTTCGAATGGTTGAACCAGTGGTTCAAACATTTTTGAAAATTTAATATATATATATATATATATATATATATATATATATATATATATATAATTAATTTGAATAGTAGAATTAAATTCATAAAATTATATACTATGAAATATTTAAAAATTATATAAAAAAATTTATAAAATAGGAGATTTTATTTTTTCAATAATCTGTCCAATGTTTTCAAAACTTTTTAAATTGAATATTTCATTGATATGTACTATGTATTTGTAGAATACGGAGTAGTTAAAAGTTTAAATCATAGTTACAATATTATATTTTTTAATGTTTTATGAAAAGAAAGCATTTTTTAAAAAAATTTTAATAAAGAAATATATTATATTATACGACTTTATGCAATGTATGACACACGATGAATCCACAGCCAAGGTGGTCAGGGGGTAAAATTGTAGGCCTGAAGGTTTTGGGTTCGAATCCTTGCACGGGTTTAATTTTGAAAGATTTTCGCAAAAAAAAAGGACCGGTTTCCGGTTCTCACCGGCAATTCTTTCCGGTTTTGACTAGTTTGCGCCGGTTCGTAGCTGAGGCCGGTCTCTAGCCCGGACCGGACGGGTTTTCTCTGGTGCCCCATTCGTAAAACTGTTGGTTCCTACCCCCTAACACTCCCGGTAAACCCCCCCCCACCTAGGGGTGGACACGGTACGGTTCCGGGACGGTTCAGGTTTCGGAACCGCCGCCACCCCTTGGTTCCGGTATCCGGACTGGCGACCCCCAAATTATTACAGTATTTTTTTTTGCTTTTTTATTAAATTTTTAAAATGTAAAATTGTAAATGTGCAATTGTTAAAAGAAAGAATGAAATAAAAAATCTAAAAATTCAATTTATAAAGGAAAGAATGAAATAAAAAAATTTAAAAATGTAATTGTTATTTAAATATTGTTATTTAAATATGTCTCCCCCACTCCCCCACCCCCCCACTAACTTGTTTTACTACTTTTTTTTTGCAGGAATTGTTGCCTTGCTGGAGCTGGAAGGGCTGGACCGCTGGAGGTGGAGGCTGGACAAAAAAAAAGGTACCGGAATCTGAACCGGTACCGCCCCCCACGGTACCGATTCTGGTACCCATTTTTCGGTACTGGCACCGGCGGTACCGGTACCAGTTCCTGGAACCGGTGGAACGTCCCGGCCGGCGGTGACGGTGGCGGGTACCGGCGGTACCGTTGCCGGTCACGGTACTGTACCGGTACCGTGTCCACCTCTACCCCCACCTCGACCCGAACACACCCTCTACTCCCGTCAATTGCACCCCACAACCCCACAAGTTGATTTTGACTTTGGAGTCAAAATACATTGGAACCCAATGTCATGAGAATCCCACTCGCTTTATTAATCGCTCCTGTAATCAAGCGACTCATGTTTTAACTAGGCATGGTGATTCTTGTATCAGGGGTGAGATTTAAGTGTCTGGGCTTTGTTGTACCATTTTTGTTTCATTAACTGGATTCTATTTTATTAAAAAAAAAAGAAAAATGGTAACTTCTCATAGTTCATTTTTTGTGAATGGATATAGAGATATTTTATTTTTTCCAATAACTCAATTCATTCAATGTTCTTATATAGTAAAGTCCATAGTTTTGAAAATCGGACCAGACCGACCGATTTGGACCGCGAACTGGTGGTCCAACCCAGTCCGATCCAACCCTAGTGACTGCAATAAGCTTCAAACCGGCAAGAACTATCCGGTCAAACCGTTCGAATCATTTTTTTGCGATTTTTTCCTAAAAGCATACCACCACAAGAGTTTGAACCCAATATCTCTTAGTCATTTGGTTGAGTTCCTAACCATCCAAGATGCTTTTTGTTACAAGTTCACTTAATCTTTTATAATATTTCATAATTAAAAAAAGATTGTATAAAAATTTCTTTTTAGTTTAAAAAATATAATATTGTATTACTATGAGTCAAACATAAAATCATTGATATAATTGATATTGTTAGAAAATGTCTATCAAGTAAAGATTTCATTTGAGTGTTTTTTTAATATTAAACAACTTATTTCAAAAAAATAAAATCAACTCTTCGTTTGTAAAATTTTCAATATTATTTTTTAATATAGGTAATATGTAAATTTTATTTTTTAACTTACTAAAATAACTCAAGTATATTTATATAACTTTAGTCAAATGTTATAAATTACGTTCTTTAGGTATTTATAAATGGAGTGTGTGTGTCTATATATATGTGTGTGTATGTCTATATATATATATATAATATTAATATTTATATAATTTTTTAAAATATGTTTGAATCATCAGTTCGACCAATTTAATCATTGATTTGACCAGTGGATCAGTATTTTGATCGGTTCGGTCACCCATATGTGAAAAGTAGGATTGAAGTCAATAAAAAATAATGAGTATGGCACAAGAATTTGCCTTCAAGCGATCCTAGTCCTCTCCAACTCCCTGAGTTCCTACATACTCCGTAGATCTGACCACCGCATCCGCCGCGCAGAGCTTTCATCTGTCGCCGCCGTTACTCAAAACCCTCCGCCAACTTGCTGCAACCAGTCCATCATCACCGGATTCAACTCGTTCTGAAGCACCTTCATTCCGCTTGCCGTGCATCTTCGCAGCTCTCTCTCCTAACACCGCCTGGGCTCCCGTGGACCTCTCATCCGGCCAACCATTCCCCGAGTGGAGGCTCTTACACGTTTCCTAGGCGTGTCATAGCGGGGTATGTTATTGACAGCACAATTAAGATTTCTAGCCAATTAGTGCAACTTTTGATCACAACATTTTGCACTGCTCTTGACTGTTTAGTCTGTTTTTACTGAGTTATTGATTGTACATTAGATGTTAGCGGTATTGATGGAAGGAACTACTCTTGAGAAATGACTCTAATTATTTAAGGCAGAATTAGTGATAGCATGAGTGAGATTGTTGTTTGAGCATAAAGCAACGACAACAACCGAGTTGAATCCCTCAAGAGTAGGGTCTGGGGAGGGTGTGTGTACGTAGACCTCCCCCTACTCGAAAGTAGAGAGGCTGTTTCCAAAGAGACCCCCGGCTCAGCGTTGAAAGTTGCATTGATTGACTAATTGCTACTTCATTAATTAAAGAAGCGCAAACAATTTAGAGATCCATTTTGCTTTATTCCATCACAACCCAAATCCAAAAAATAGTGAATTTTTGGCTCCATCGGTCTGTTTTTGCATGATTACAATAGTTACTTGTGGTGATATTATCTTTCCATAAGCTAGTTTCGTTTTCAAGACTCTGCATTCTCTGTATGGGAACTATAAAGTTATAGTGCAGTGTTATGATTTATTTACTCAATACTTTTAATAGGGAGCTCCCCCTTTTCTGGACAATATCAACAAGTGCCTGCTCAGGGCAGGGAATGTCTTGCAGTTAGTTTTGAGTATTTGAGAACATCCTGCAATGTCGGGGCTACTAAATGTATTCTCCTTCTCTGATTAGTTTTTTTTTTCTTTGTAAAATTCTCTGATTAGTTTTACAATAGGATGTTTAGTTGTGAGGATGCCACTGCTTTTCAGCTGTTGGATTTGATGATAAATGTTTGGATATGCTAAAAGAAGGCCTAAACCTGTTTAGCTAGATGATTAAAGTAACTGTGCCAATTGCTAAATCTTTGTTGTTCAAATGGAACAAGATGTTATGATGTGGTTTTGAACTACACTGTTCATGTTGACCAAATTTTAACAGCATTTGGCACGTTCCCTTGCAGTCAGGATTGAATGGGTCAGCTCCAAATAATCCTGAAACCACTGTTAGAGGTTTGTCCACTTCATTTGCAGCACAGTCAGGTTCCACTGCCACCGTATTGAATCACTCTGGTGGTATATTGTTAATGCTTTGTTGTTCAATATCTTAAATTAGCTACTAAAGTAACTATGATTATTTTAATTTATGCTTTTTGTTTTACAGGAACAGTGCAAAGCCTGCAGGGGATCCACGGGAATTTCAATATGTCGAATGTACATGGTACATTTACATCAAGAAATTCAAATATGACTGGTGGTCCTTCTGGCAGTGTTCAGCAAGTGGGGAACCTTTCTAATGGGAGATATTCAATAAATAACATTCCTACTGTACTTCCTCAGGTACCGTGACAAGCTTTCCATATACAATGAAGATCATTTAGTTTTTATATGCTGCAATGAGTGCTCTGTGTCTCCCCATGTTTTACACATATTTGCATGGATATTACACACGATATGTCATAATAAATAATAACAACTCACCTTTTGATGCAGTTATCACTTGCTAACTCCCATGGACAATCAGGGGCAACTAACATAGGAGGTTTTCTATTTGTATACTTTTACATAGTTGGAGAATATTTTCTTTACCCCCATTTTTTTCCTTTTGGCTGATATGGAAGTAGCATTACTTCATTAGGTTTTGCTACCTAGGCATGATTGATTCTTTTTAAATGCAGGAAGAATTACAAATTCAATGACTAATATTGTAAATGGGGGCAATATTACCAGGGGTCTAAGTGTTGATGGAGGCTCAAATATGCACAGTGTTGCTTCTCGCATAAATTTATCTGGTAAACTTGATTTCCCAAAAACTAAGACTACAAAATTAATTTTTTTAATGGGTCATTCCTATGTAGAACAGTTGGTCACATGATTTGTCAAGTTTATGAAACTTTAATGGCAATTTTGAAATTTAGAAGAGTACAATTTGCAGAATACTTAACACTTTCACATGTGTTTTCAGGACTTGAAAGTTAAAAGTGCAAAAGGCTAGACTTGTTTTTTCTTAATTGGCGCATGACTAGAACAACATGTAAAAATTAAGTTTATGCACCCCTGCCAAAGGGGGCAAGCTTGTCTCTAGAGCACATGTTTCTTCCCACCTTTCAGCATTGTGCATGCACAGTGATCACCATTTTTCTTGCACCTGAATTACAGGTTCACAGATGGTCTCAATGCTAGGAAATTCTTATTCAGGTTCTGGTGCACCACTTTTGCAAAACCAATTCCAAGCTGGGAATAACCATTTAGCTTCTATGGCACTTCTAAATGAATTTAATGCACGTGATAATGCTACCTTTGATATAAATGACTTTCCTCAGCTGGGTGGTCGCCCTTCTTCTGGTGGTGGTTCCCAGGGACAAATAGGTAATTTTGGTTACCAAATACTTGTTACATCATTTGGTATTGTTATTTAAATTATCTATGAATGATCATCTGGTTTGTGTACCCAGGTTTCATGCGGAAGCCCAACATTGGGTTCTCGCAACAGAATCAAGAATTTAGTATTCAAAATGAAGATTTTCCTGCCTTGCCCGGATTTAAAGGTGTTTTGGTTATGTTCCTTTGAAATAAATACATTTTGTGTTTGTGATGTCTTTACATATATGATTAATATCTAAGGAATGTCAAGCAGTATTTTTCTCTCTTTGTTTTGCTTCACCTTGATTATTTCATCATTAAATGTAAACTCATACTTAAGGAATTTTATGAAAAATAGATTTCAGGAGGAACACTAGATGTCAACCAAGTCTAGGAAAGAGAACAGGTGCTTTCGATGTAATTGAACTACACGCTTCATGCATCTTGTGGATAAATCTTGGTTTAAGAGTGTCACTCCTTATATTTTTGAATTCACAGAGTCTTCTTGAAATCTGAAGTATTGAAAATCCCTTTTTTGCATATTTTTTTTGGTGAAAGGAGGAGAATGTTTCCCTAAGTTACATACAATGGGATTCTTTTCATTTGTGATACCATCCCTTATTGAATTTAACAATATATTCTTCTCGGGAATATCTGAAGTCTGACCTTTACTCAATGAAATGTGTTTGTCATTCCTCCAACGAATTCTTACGGGATGTCTAAATGTTGATCGCTACATGTATAATCTTTGTGGATTTACCCCTAGTTTTCAAATGCAAAAAATATAAGTACCTTCTTTCTGAATGTTTAAAGCATACCACTATTGCACCATATGATGTTTCAAATCATTTATGTAAGTCATCCAACTATGTAACTTTTCTCTCATTCTTTGATGCCAATATATACTTCTAATAAATCATTGGAAGTATAGTACTATTGATGTGCTGCACTTACTACATTCATCATATGCTTTTGAGCTTTATATCTTTTAGTTACTGTCCCAAATTTTCACGTTCACCTCTTGTGTCAGGCATCATCTCTAGTTGTCCAACTAGTTATCATTCCAAATTACCACGCTGAATTTTGTTCTTCACTTTTACCGCTTTCTACTACTCACTGTCACTGTCCCCTTTCCCCAAAGTTCTCTTTCTGTTTTGATATGAATGGCCTCTGTAAATCACGTGGCACTTGTCTCTTATTTGTCATTACAACACGGGCTGTGAATACTATATCAGTATATCCCCATTTTAAGCTGCACCCTTACTACCACTGATCACAGTGTTTCCATTTCAAAATGTAGCTCGATAAAGTGCTCTACATTTGTGAGTTAGATCATGGGGTTATTGTTCACTGAATTTTATTAAGATTCAACAAATAGATTTTCGACTAGCATATGTGTAAATTCTTTACCAGGTGTTAGAGTATGCATTTAAAGTGGTAGATCTGGATTATAGCATATTCTGATGAGACTGGGGGCAATGCTGACTTTTCTATCAATGCAGGTCAGAAAGAGCAACTTCAAGAAAGTATGGCATCTATGATGCAATCCCAGCATTTAGCTGTAAGTTTTGGCTTCTTAATGAGTTCTTTAGAGCTTCATAAATTTATTATGTAAGCCTAATTGGCCTTATTCTCTTTTGTGTTTTAATTTTGATTTTGCAGGTGGGAAGATCTTCTGGATTCAGCTTTGGTGGTAATTATTCATCACATCAACCACAACAGCAGCAAGCCTCAGCAGCAAATGGGAGTGGGCTTTCTTTCCCCCCTGCAAGTTATCAAGATGCTCGTTTCCATGGCCTTGAGGTATGCTCTACCAATGATTTATTATGTCACTCAGTTGTTGCAAAGTTAAGTTCACCTTTCATGTTTTGTCTTTTCTCTGGTGATTAGTTTTTGGGAAGGGAAGTCTGAATTCTAATCATTTTGCTACCAAATATATGGTTAAGATATGAAGATTTCATATTTAAATGCTCCCTGTCCAAAAAACAAGTTTACACTTTCATTTTTCGGTTGCCCCAAAATCTCCTTTACATTTCCATTTATGGCATGTACTTTACATCTACTTTATAACTTTGCCCTCAACTACCAACTACAATTACTACCTTTTTTACACTATTTTACTCCTTTTTAACTTAAAGTAGGGGCAATTGAGTAACTTCCTTTGCTTTCTTAAACTCTGTGCCATTCTCAAATGACAACTTGTTTTCGGGACATAGCTCCAGAGGGAGTAACTATTTGTTTCTTTCAGGCTCGAAGCATAGGCCCCCCTTCAACTGGATCAGTTTCTTCCAACTTGTCAAATTTGGGACCATATGATCAACTTTTGGAACAGTACCAGCCATTCCAAAGGCAATCTCAATTTCGTTCAATCAGCCCATTTAGAGATCATGATATGAATCCATTACATGCATCACAAGCTGCTGATCAATATGGAATGTTTGGTTTGCTGAAAGTTATTAAAATGATAAATCCTGCATTAAGTTCACTTTCTCTTGGGCTTGATCTGACCTCACTTGGTCTGAACTTGAACTCACCAGAAGATCTTCACAAGTCTTTTGCCTCTCCCTGGTCCGATGAACCTGTCAAAGGAGAGCCTAAATACACTATCCCAGATTGCTATAATGCTCAGCAATTGGGTGTCCTAAAAGTGAGCGTTCAATATTTCTCTATCTGGAGGTACCATGAAATTATTTTTTGTCACACATGTTTTGATATTCTATTTTGCTAATGCAGCAAAGTTGGTTCTCAAAGTTTAGGCCAGAGACATTATTTTACATCTTCTATAGGTAAATCAGCGCCTAATCGAAGAACTTCAAGTATTTAATGATCTAATTTATAATGATTTGACAATTAACATTTTTTCATAATGTCTTGTTCGCATACTATGTCATCATTTTTAGCTCTGAAATTGTGATTTTGTTATCTTCTCTCTGCAGCATGCCTAAAGAGGAAGCACAACTGTGTGCAGCAATTGAGTTGTATGTCTCTCTCTCTCTCTGTGTGTGTGTGTTTGTGTGTGTGTGTGTGGAGTAAATTATAAGAAACTAGAATAGGTGAACTAAAAGAGGTATTTGGTATATTGACAATAGTAATGCATTGTGAATGATAGATCAAGAGAAGAATACAAATCTCCTTAAATTGGAATGAAACGCACTATATAGCGGGCTAGAGCTAAACTATTGTTTCATACATTTAGTGTTTGCTTTATACTCCCTCTGTCTCACAAAAGGATCCACACTTTGACTTACCATTTATTAAGAAAAATATTGAAAAGGTTTTAAAAAGTAAAAATTGAGTGGTTGGAATTTTATTGGAAGAGAGACTTGAGTTAGATGTTCAAAGGGAATCAAACTTTCTCCAAATGGAAATGGAAGTAATGTTTTAAGCTTACAAGTTAGTAATGTTGTATCATCATATGCTTCTCATATATTCTCTCCACCACACAGTTTAAGCAAGTTGAAAAGTGTGGTTGGTTTTTTTACAAGTTAGTAACATAGTATCATCATCTGCCTTAAAAGTAAAGGAGTGTTTATTTTGGGATAGGTAGAAAAGAAAAGTGTGGCTTATTCAGAGCAGTTTAAAGGAGTCAATAAGTATTGTGGTCATGGACAGATGGAGGAAGTAACAAACTAGTAATCATTTGCCATTTATCACCGGGCAAGATGGTCTCTCATCAGAAATATTAAAATGCCCATTATTAGTCAAATTCAAATCTTCTGTCACACTATCTCCTACATTGATGCGCCAATGTTGTGTTTTTCTGAGACCTCCTAGAAATCACTATAATGACATGGTTAATATTAGCCGCCCATGTCATCCTAGGATGACATGGGCTGCGTTTGGGGTCCTTACGGTGCTCCATTCAAAAAAATTGATGGTTCCTACCCCCTTTAACCCCTCGGTTAGCCCTCCAACCCATCCCGACCCGAACCCACCCCCACCACAGTCAATTGCACCCCACAAGATTTAGTTGATTTTGGAGTCAAAATTTGACTCCAAAGTCAACTAAATCTTGTGGGATGCAATTGACAGGGAAGGGGACGGGGTAGGGTTCAGGTCGAGCTGGGCTGGGGTTGGGGGGAGGAAGTAGGAACCTTCAATTTTTCGAACGCAGCACCGTAGTGATCCCGGGTTGACATTAATTCTCAATGTCATGGGAACTAAGGGGTAATATTAATGAAAATAAGATATGAACCACACATTCCGGATAGGAAGAGTGGGATTAATGATGATATATTTTACAAAGTTAACATGCATAATGGCTGTGTCTCAGGCATGCCAGGGGATGGTTTTATCACAGAGAGCTCCGCCTATGGTTCACAAGGGTCTCGAACGTAGAACCTCTTGTCAAAACGGCCAATTACGAGAGAGGCTGTTACTTTTGCTTTGACCCCAATGCTTGGGAGGTGGTGAGAAAGGTTTGGACTTTAATGAACTCAGAATTATATGTTCGCTTTTCATTTATGCATACTCATTACTCCTTGCATCCCACAATTATCATCTTGTTTGACTTGGGCAATCTGCAATACAAAAACATTGACCATTATATGTATACTTAATTAGTATACCGGTATATTATTTCAAAACCACATTTACAAACATATCCCTTTTAAATTGATTTCATATCATAACTCAATGTACTTTTGACGCAAATAACTATCAAATTCTACAACATTGAAATAAAAAGTCAAAACATGAAGATACTTATGGGACACTGGGATCAATTAATACGGCGTAGTCTTTCCGTACTCAAATAAATGTCCTTAACTAAATGCATATTGTTCAATTAATGGGTTAGTCCTCTGTTCTCAAATGCCTATCATATCTTAAGAGTTTATACTGGGATTCTACCGTGTTTATTGTTATCGTTTGAGAACCGAGGGATGCATGTGTGTGTGTGTGTCTATATATATATATATATATATATATATATATATATATATATATATATATATATAGTGATTTAGTTAATCTTTTGTTACCATCGTGTTCAGGATAACGTTGTTCTTCAGTATGAGATGATTGAAAAGGCCCCTACTAGCCTTGCTTAGAAAGTTCTACTGGCTACATTATATGGAAAGGTTCAATATGCAAAGGGTATCTTCAGTTTCTTTTTGAATAGAATTTTCTTTCAAATCCCATTTCGTAAATAGAGTTGGGATTAATTTATATAATTGGGTTAAGTTTTTTCAATATAGGAAAATTTTCAGTTTTAGTCTCATTTGTTTGACAGACTACTCTAATGAATACACCTCAATTTTACTTCTCATTTTGTAAAATTTTTCCTTTTCAGTTCTTATAAATCAGATTCAATTAGGAGTGTATCCCAGTAAATTGCCCCCATCTTGATTGCATATATTGTTTACCTTGTAGAATTTAAAATAATTGCAAAAAATAGTGATTGCATATTGATATACTCCCTCGTCCCGAATTAATATGGCACATTTTGATTTTACAGAATTAAAAAGTGTTAATAAGTACTCCTTCTGTTGTCCATTTTTGACTTTTTTCGATTAAAATTGGTAAATTTTGACTTCAAATTAAATAAAAATAACATTAGATGTTGATTCAAAGTTAATTTTATTAAATTTATTAAAACAAATATTTTCAAAATATTATTTTATCAAATGAATACACAATATACATTTTATTTAATTATAAATCAAAGTTGATAATGATTGACCAAAAAAAGTTAAAACTGGACAAATACTTAGGGACAGAAGTGGTAAGAAGTGAGTAGTTGAAAATTATTGGGAGAAGAAAAAATTGTAGACCAATCAATATTTTGAACTATGTAACGCAAAAAGGCCAGATGTTAATCCGAGTAAATAATTTGGTATTTCTACCGAAGAAAGTCCAAAAGGGTAAGGGGTGGAAAAAGAAAAGGCTAGGAGGGTGATATTTATTCTAAGGGGTATATAAGGCATTTAATTCAAAATTATTTGCCTAATTAAAAAAACAGGAAGAATATTCAAGTTCAGAAAAGATAATTACCCCTTAGAATAACTATTGAACACTCCCTTTTAATAGAGTTCAAAAAAGATGCTCTACTCAATGCGTAATCATTCAAAGACGATGATCGTTATTTGTGGTGTCATTTTTAGCATTTTTATGAGAAAATTTAGGAATGAATGAATGGCTTACGACTTTACGTCATTAGCGGTTTAGCTCATACGATATTCTCTGGTCATAGAGAGTGATTTATAATAAGTCTAGGAGAGAGGATGTCGAAATGTTATCAAATTTTTTTGAAAACATTATACGGAGTAAAAATCAATATCAAATCAAAAAAATACTCAAAAACCGAATCAAACTTATGTATGTAGTAACTTATATATATATCGATTCCACTTTTTCATGAATGTATCCTCCTTTATTTTAATTTTTTATAGATAAATTTATGAAAAATTAATTAAGAAGCATTAAAATACTACGAGTAGTATTTTGTTGATGATTGATAATGTGTTTTTATATTAAAATTTAACTGTGTATATGTTCTTAGAGATATTATTTAAAAGTATGTTTTTTGACATACTTTCAATGTTTCTTACTATGAATCTATTATTATGTATGAAGTATGATATATTCTCTTCAATTTTTGAAATATAAATAAGTTTTCATAAGCATTTCTTTGATTTGAACTCTTTTTAGTTTTTAGTTTTTGATTTTTTTTATTTTTAAACACACATTCGACTTTTTGAGCACACATAAAATAGTTTCATAATAATATTAAACTCGGTATATAAATTAGTCCTAAAACCGATGCTGTTGGATTTTGAACCATCCATAATTGGTATTTCAGGATCAAAATTGACATGATATAAAATCTCATACCAAATTAAAATATATGTTAATTTCATATAAATATAAACAGATTTGAAAAGTAATGTGATTGTTGTTTTTAGTTTTAGCATTATAAAGTTAAAACTTAAAATATACAATACAAAAATTAATCAAAATTCCAATATTGATCCTGAACAAACTCCCAAAACACGTCCATACAAATGTTTTACTTTTAGTAAAAAGAGCACCAAAACAACGAAATTTTGTTGTCCTTTTATAACGCTTTGTGTTTAGAGGAACATGCTAGATCTTTAGGACAGCTTCCGTTGTAGTCTAGTTGGCAACGGAATTTTCTTTTCTTGGCTTTGTTCCACGCTGGATTGGCATAGACAACATATTCTCTCATAGAATTCTATGTTTTTTTTAAATTCCAATATTTCTTTATTATATTTTAATTCTTATCAAGAATCTCTTTGGTTCCTCCGTCCGATATTGAGCCAAACGAGTACGCTGTGGCTTACCAAACGTACGAGAAAAATCCAACGTTCTTCGATACCCAAACCTTGGCGAATCTGGAGGATTCAGAGTCGTTTACGGAAACTCAACTGGAAGCAAGTGCACCGATAAAAATTGCACTCGAGAAGAGTCACAAACCAAGGGCCAAAAATCCGATGACCAAGGCGGCAAGTTCCATTAAAAAATGGACACCGGCGAAAGAAGTGTTGTTGGCATCCGTGTGGGTTGACGTCTCGGAGCATCCTACGTTGGTAATTTTTTTAATATATATTTGATATATGTTTTTTATATATTTATGTTAACATATTTTTTTTGTTAAATTATATATATTTTTAAGGTTCTGATCAAATGAGGGATGCAATGTGGGATCGTATCGAGAAGGAGTTTTTTTGCCGCAATGAACATCAACGCCTCCTACCAAACTCAAGACAAACTCACTTTCAAATGGGGCCACATAAACAAGAAAGTTCGAAAGTTTATCGGAGGTTACGAGGAATGCTCTTAGTCCTAGAAGAGCGGGACAAACGATGCCGATGTTTTGTGGCAAGCCATCCCTCAATATCAAGACGACGGACACCAAAACAAAGTCTTCGTCGAGTTGTGGAGAGTTTTAAGCGGTTCACCAAAATGACAACAACTCTATAATCTCGAGGCTAGATCGTCAAAGAAAAGATCATCTGCCGAGGTTGAGGTGGATGACACTATCGGCTCGTCGGAACAAGAGCCTCCCGTCAACCTAGACGACTCTGATGACGAGGGTCCCATTCCATGATCGATCGGAAGAAAGAAGGCAAACTCAATTGCCGCGGATTTTGCAAGCCCAGGCTCTGTTTCTTCTTACGAAGATATCAGCCAGACAATGGCTGAACAAATGCGGGTGTTCAACCTTAGAGAAGAAGAGAGGGAGAAACGAAGGACAAAGAAGGAGGTCGAAATAATGAAAACTGACCTTGATACGTTAACGAGCTTCAAATTCGAGAGAAGACAAAACGAGATCAAAATTAAATATAATATGCTTTAGTTTTTTTATTAAAGTAATTTTTTAAAATTTAATGTTCTTTTTTTATTGAATGTAATTTTTTATCATTTAATGAATTATTGCCGTTTAAATTTAATTAATTAATAAAATCTTATTAATTTACTTTTACAAAATGTGTATTAAAAATTTAAAAAATAAATGTTTGAAGCTCCAGTTTGAAGCCCTGGGCTTCATACACATTTCTAGTGAAAATGTAAAGTAAGTTAAATGGAAGTTAAAACTAATGTGGCAGAGAGAAGATTTGAAGCCAAGTTTGAAGCCCCAGGCTTCAAACGTATTTCTAGTGCCCTTATTGTCTTGGGTGTTTATGGTTTTTATGGTTTAGTTACCATACTAGCAACCAATACCGGATCGAGATCGGACTTGACCGGACCGAAGATTGAATTAAACAAAATCAAGGACAGAAGACTGGACCTATGTCTATTCGCGTTTGGACCGGACCGGACTGAAATACTTAGCACCGAACCGGTCCAGACCGATTGTTCTAGAAAAAATATTTTGATCTATTAGTTATGTTTTAGGCTTTTTAATTTGTACTGTGAAAATAGAAAAAAAAATAAAAAAGGACCAACTAAAAATATATACATAATGTTGACTATTTCTATGTATAATCCTAAAAACTAATGTGAAATAAATTTTTCTAAATTGTTAAAAAAATTTCTTAATAAAAAATCTTCTTAATTAAATAAATTAAGATACATATCAAAATAGATCATTAACGTGTTATACTAAAGTTAAAAAGTAGAGTCTTAGGTCTATTGTGATTTTTAGGTCCATTCGGTCCGAACATAAATCATTAGACCGGACCGGACCATAACCTGGGCTCTCTCTAGATTCACGGGTCGTTTCTTTGTACTTTGTGCAAGCTAAAATAATGTTCCATAAAAATATGTTGGTGCACAATTATGTTCACTAATCAAATAGTAAATTGTTACCTATAAATATATAGCAACTCTTCAAATTCATTAAAGATGGAAGGACCGAAATGGACGAATTTTGACAAAGGGTCGCCTTTATTTGTCATTTGCTTTTGTCCTAACAATTGTGACAAATTAAACCAATTAGTTCCACAATTTTGTATTTTGTGCCAAAATGGATATCAGATTGTTATTATTATTGAGAAATATAAGAGCCCAAAACAAGTAAAGTTACATAAAATGTTCTAGAAAATAAGTAACAATGATTGATGAAAATATATATAAAAAAGAACTAATTTGATGATCTGTAAATAGTAACTATGATTTTTTGGAGGGAGTACAATGCAAAAGTTATTCAAAAATGGAATATTAATTACGGATATTGTTCCCGATCCATGCAGATGTTACATGTTTTTTTAGTGCAGATGTTATGTGTTTTCTTTTACAAAAAGATCCAAAAAATAAGGAATTTTTGTGGTCCTTTTCTGATACTAAAGGTTTAATAAGTGGTTCAAGAAAAACAAAAACAACTTCCGTTGTAGTCTAGTTGGTCAGGATACTCGGCTCTCACCCGAGAGACCCGGGTTCAAGTCCCGGCAACGGAATTCTAATCTTCCTTTTTATTTTTGAATTAATACGGACTACAATCCCTAAAACAGGAGGGGGATTAAATTTTGAAAGCAAGCAATCCGTATTAGTTTGACATTAAATGGAATTACTCCGTATTTCTCATTTAATTCATTTGAATATTGATTAAAGTTAAACACAAAACTATATAAAAATATCTAAAACATCTAAAACTGCACAAAAACTTTTACTCTCTCCGACCTAAAACGTTCTTCTCGTTTCTCTTTACGGGATTTTACCGACTTTATTTTCTATTTAATTTATTTGATTGTAGGTGTAGTATTAAAAAATACTCCATCCGTCCCAAATTATAATGGCTATTCACTTTTTACAAGGTCAAACTTCATTCACTTTTTTTTCTCTATTTTTGTTAGCAATTTGATAAAATAAAGTACTATTGTCACTACTAGTTTTGTAGATCTTTTGATATAGTATTTTAATATATAATTTTTATTTTTTAACTCTATACCATTTGTCATATACAATGATTCAAAAATAACTTCAATCAAACATCGTAAACTGAAACGAAAACTATAAATTGGGACGGAGGGAGTAACATATACATGTTTAAAAACTACATCAAAAGTCTTACAAAATAAAAGGTGACAAGACTATATTATTTTATCAAATAAATAACAAAAATAGGTACAGAAAATGATTAAAGTTTGACTGTATAAATAGTAACTGGAAAGAACGTTTTAGTGCGGAAGGAGTATAAAAGAGATCGTATGACAATATTGTTTTACTAAATGATCAACATGAATATGTGAAGCAAGTAGACAAAGTTTATACTCTGGTATTAATTTTTAACCATATTTAAATAATAAAAAAAGATGTGAATTATTTTATAACATACAAAAGATAATCAAGTAAGTTGCACAAAAATAAAAACACTAGTCAGTTAAAAAGGTAAAACTGATTAAGCAATGGAGGAGGCCTTAATCAACTTGGCAATTTTTCTGTCATGGCTAAGTGTTGAACTCACACTTTCTACAACCAAAATGACCTGCCAAGTAAACCCAAAGAAATGAATTAATTAATTGTACTTAAGAATCTCCACAAAAGGCAAAACAATGGCATTTTCTAGTCTGCCAAACAACTCAAGAAACCAATTCTTTCTGGTTTCTGCTGACTGAAACAGCAGAATTTCAGTCCCAAGAAGCGAAAGCAAATGCACTTTGAAAAATATCGCCAAATGCATTTGCTTTAGGGTGGAGCATAGACACGTCACAGAATCACGAATGGTGATATGGCGTGTTTATGGCATTTAGGGTATGTTTGGGAGTTCGGTTTGGGGGAGAATCTTTTTTTTTTAAAATTTAAACTATACTGCTTTAACAATGGTTTATGTCCTCAAGACAGCATAAAAAATGACAATTTGGTATAATTTTGATATCCCAGGCATTGGTTTAGTACCATAAGAAGGTTGATTTATTTAAAAACTGGCACATTTTAAAAGGTGGTATTTCAATTAAGAAAAACTTGAACATAAATCATACCTAGTATGTACGAGTAATTAAAAAGGCACCTACTCTCCAAAACCAAACTCTCAACACATACCCTATGTATGGGAGATGAAGAGTTGTTTTTCATTTTATGATAATAGTGTGTTAACTTAATAATTTTTCGAAATAAAAGATACGGAGTACAAAGATGCATTAGTATGACTCCATGTCCTAGTCATTTATTGTGTATGCATACCCTATGCCAAAAAATACAGCTCACCTTTGCTTTTTAAAGTCAAAATTAGTTCAATTTGACCATCAAAATTTCATCAAGGTCATATTTTACGGATCATCAATTTTTTGAATGGTCATTTTTTGGGGGAGTGGGTAGGAGTAGGGGTAGGAACCATCAATTTTGCGAACGGGGCACCGTAGGTGTCGACTGTCAATGTCATATTATGACATTAGGGTCTAATGTCAAAAGATCCGGGAGTATATAGTCGTCTTGATTATAAAACAAAGTAATAACCCCTCTATCCCAAAAGACCTATACAAATTATTGTTATAAACTTATGATTGTTAGCATTCCCAGTTCCCAGCATGACCAAATGAATGAATAAAAGATGGTTCAGTACACCTAAACAACCTAGACGGCCAGACAAACCAAAATTCCAAAAAGAATTGAGAAGAGCCCATCATTTTATTGTAAGCTTAGAAAATAATTCAGAAATAAATAATTAAAGCATCGGAGAGGAAACCTGAAAGCAAGCATATCCCATTGCAGTTGCAAAATAGAAGTTTGCATTGCCAGTACCCTGCAAAGGTTATTCCATGATCACCAACCAAATCCAAATTCAGAAAGAAGCATTAATTTTTCATTCAAGCACTTGGCGTCTGCATGGATGGAGGGTTTTGGAGAAAATAGCTTTGGATGGCTTATTTTATACAGCATATCTTTATACTCCATATAATATTTGAGATTTTATAAAGAGTGAAAGACTATCATAATATGCGATCATATAATATTTCAAACACTTTCTATTCATATTTAAAACATTCTATAAAACATAAATCAAGAGTCAAGATGCAGACTACCACCATCATAAACCCTCCATCCAAATAGACCCTTTGGGAAATATATGTGAAAGTATGCTAGTATGCTAGTATGCTACTTACTCTCCATATCCACAGGTTGTGCATTACTGGGCTTAAAAGGGATATACCCACATATCCACAGAACATGAAGAAAGAAAATGACATTTCTGTACAATATATAACACAGATTATGCTTCTGAGATGAAAATATGTAAAATACTCCTTGTACTAGATTGTCTATGCCACTTACCTGATAATTCATTTATAAACAAAGCAAGCAAACCCAAGTAGAGAGCAGAGTCACCAACCTGTGCCACTCAAGTCAGACGGGAGTGAGTAATAATTAAGAATACAGATCATTAGCACTGGTTTCGTAGCCTTGGCTGGCTTATTCTGCATATCAGCTTTTGACTTATTTATTTATCTTTCAGAAATTCAGATTATTCACCATTTCCGGTAAAAAAATATTACCAAACAGGGCTAAAATAACCAGTAAGTTAGTATAAATAATGTCGAAAGTGTTGCCGGTAGCTGAAACATGTCCCGGATAAGGGATCTGGGAAATGAGTTAATTCCCCACATTTTCTTACCTTCTAATTTTCCTGAATGATTTCCTTTCTATTTTCCCCCTTAGTATTCTCCCGGTGTGAAACTCACCATATGTCACGCCAAAATATAATTTCTCTATGATACTATTAGCTGTAGAGAACTGTGTAGTCTCAGACAAAAGAACACTTACTGAAGGATATGATTTCAGCATTGTACATATTGTCATGTAAACAAAAGCCAGAAAGCAAGGCCTGTGGTATAGTCGTATCGCTAATGGCGGAATCATGAAGAGGATGTTTGCATGAAAAACTATCAGAAAAAAACTTCTGAAGAAATCAAACACTTCAGCAAAGAAATACCTGTTCAAAGTTGCACACGGAGTTATTGAAAACATAAAAAATGTACTTAAGGACACACACTTCTTCAGATTCAAATGATGATTCAAGTTATTTCACTTACCATAAGACACCTATATTTGGAGATAAATCTTTCACAGTTAGAATAAACCCATAGGTCCTGCAGTTTGATTAGTGATGAAGAAACATTAATACTACTGGTATTAAGAGAGTTTGCATATATGTATGTTTGTGTGTAGGGTTAGGGGAACAAGAAAATTGTACACATCTGGGTATTACCACAACTGGTAAAATCCAGAAACTGGGATCAAGATGAATTCATTTTTTGCTAATGTAGATGAGAAATTAAGAATGATTGGCATGCAGAGAGAGAGAGAGAGAGAGAGAGAGAGAGAAGATAATTGTCTAAAAGACTACCTTTTAAACATTTCTTGGAGACCACCAAAATCTCGCATAAAAATGCCACACAAACCCAATACATAAGCAGCCCAGATGAAAGCCCAGGAAAGAAAAACCAAAACTGGCCGCCAAGAGAAATGGGTAACTTCTTTTCTCTGGTTCCTTAAACCCTTGTTAGTATTGCTTTCACTCAAACTGAGATCTTCATCTTTTACTGAATGTAACTGCAGGAACAACTTTTTGGGAGGCGCATCTGGACCATAACCTAATAGAAGAATCACCTATAATGAAATGAGTAACTCAGTAACCCAATTCATGAAAATCGTGAACTGGGGATGATAAACAAAGGAATGTTTATTAAGATGATATTTAACTAGGGGCAATGTTTTCTCTCATGAATCCAAATTAAGGAATTATGGTTCTACATAACCTAAAGAAGTCTGAAAGCAAAGCTTACTGGCACAATTAGAACAAAAGGATAAAGCGAGATATGGGATGCTATGGTCCACCCAAAAGCTGCCAATGGTGCACGACCTATGACAACGACATAAGACAACTAATCAGTCAGAGATTTAGATCATGCATGTTTTCACAATAATAATCAACTATTGTTGTCCACAAGACACAAAGACAATATAATATAGAAAATCTAATTCTATAAACCATTCGTGTTCGATAAAAATTTAAATCAAAATATTCAAGAGGCTAATCAGGCTATACAATATGGCAATCACTACTTCTACTATTCTTAAAGCTATAAGACTCCTCCGGAAGGCCGAAACTAGGAAATTCATATATTCTCCTCTGAAGTATATGTTTGGTAGGACTTATTTTGATGCTTATGGCTTGTTTTATGCACTAACTAAACAATTAACCATATTTAATAAATAGAGTAAGACCTCAAATTAAGTTCCTATTTGTAAAACTCTCTCATATTGCTTTAAAAAACAAGCTTCTAACTTTTCATTTGTTTCCACTAAATCACTAATAACCCTTTTCTTTCTACAAAAATTATACCATTTATCCATCTAGTAATCAATATAAATGATGTCCTTTAATGCCTTTAATACAAATTATCTAGTAGTCACTTAATTTTACCAAACACCTTTATCATCAATTGAAGCTTTCAGCTTTTAGCTCCTATGTATTGACTTAGCAGTTTTCAGTCATTTTGCACCTTTCAACTCCTAGATAGATTTAGCTATTTTGCATGCCAAACAAACACTAAGTAACTAGCTAGTAGCTACGTTGAATAACAAGAAGAGAAAATAAAGCTACAAAGTAACATTTGTCAAGACAGGGAAGCTGAAACTGCACACCTTTGCAGGCTCCATATAGGGAAATGATTACAAACATGTTTTCGATTGGTGTTGTATTGAAACCCATGCAGGTCACAATAGTAAAAGGGTTCCATAAGTATACAAGTGCAGCAATGTCTCCAGAGGGTAGAATCTCTGGAAATAAAAATAGTGAATGATCAAAATGTGTGGAGGAGAAGAGACTGAAATCGTTGCATGATTGCGTCAATGGAATGCAAAAATATAGCTACCTGAATCTTCTAAGAGCTTGCCCAGACCCAGTGATTTTAAGTTTTTTTCATAAGCGAACTGAAGACTCTGACCAATAGCACGAATAAGAACGGCAGAAATAATATCTGCAATCACCGAAACCAAACTGTATCCAAAAATGTGTTGAAATAATCCATAGATCTTTAGAAGTACTCAAACATGAACTGGCAAAAGATAGCTATCTAAACTTAAGATGCACCCAAAAGCTGTGATAAAATCATTAGATGCAAGATTGCTATGTATACACAACTTTCAAATACTGTGATGAACTATAAGATATGCTCTGGAAAAAACATCATACATTTATAAAATTAACATTTGAAACTAGATTAAAAGGCCATTTCCACTAAAACAATTAATTGAAAGATCAAATTATAGCTAAAATTTTAAATTTATTTGTTGGTTTAACTAAAATTAACACACTCCACTTGGTTGGGCATTTCTTGTTAAAAGGGCACTATATACTCCATATATGATGAAAAATTGAAAACCAACTGCTTACTATAAAAAATGAGTCTTTTTTGGGGGAAATTATAAACTTTCAAACATGACTCCTTTTAATATACTGCATAGAGATGCAGTGTCTGTTCCTCCCAAATGTTAGTGTGTTTGGTGCAATGTGGAAAATGGGGCAAGAAATAATACGGAGTAATGAAGAAGATACCTGCATAATTGGTAAGAGCGTCCGTCAATTCTGAAAATTTTTAATAAGCATTCGAATTAATCATAACAATCATAATAATAATTACATCTTAAGCAATTACTGTAAGGTTAGTGCTTAAATGTTTACTTGTTTTCAGTAAGAGGGCCGAGAACTGCCAGCAACAATGGAGATCCGTGGTACATAGAGCCAGCATAAGGCGACATTGACGACTGCTTCAACCAGTAGCCCTCCGCCACTGCGAAATCCAAAATCAAAATTAAACAAAAAAAAAATCATAAATAAGCAAGTCACGCGCAAGTGCGGGTGGAGGCGGGAGATTTACGGCGGCGGAGGCTGGTGACCGGAGTGGAGACTTCGGGGCGAGTGGCGAGGTTGAGATCCTTGGCGAAGTATATCAGAGCCAATCGGAACAGCATTGACGCCGCCGCCCATCTCCAAAATCGCGGCTTCGGCTTCTTTCTTCGAGCTTCCATTTGCAGAAACTCAGACAGATTGGTCTCCGAGTCTATCAGTCTTCGGTGCCGGGATTGGCTACGGGAGGGCACTGAACGGGGCGGCGTCCTGTAAAAAAAAGTGTCTGCTAAAGACAATTGTACCCTATGGTTTTCAATTCAATTCATTATGCTTGTTTATGAATAGTATTAGCGTTTAGATAAAATTTTAATGGTGTAAGTTATTTTAAAAACGATAACACCAATAAACATTGTCCGTAGGTAGCATTTTCAAAACGTTAACGCTGGTCTCTAACACTATTCCCAATGTTTAAAAATCCAAATAATTCTAATTTTACTTAAAGTGTGTGTATAATTAGGATTCTGAAAAAATTTGGATAGACTATTTAGAATCTACGGAGTATAAATTATGTAAAATTCATAGAACATTTCAATCTTTCAATGAGACTAATAACTCTACGTGCCTAATGAGTTGAGAATATATGAACAGATACTACATTATAATAGAACTATTATAGTGATTGTCAATTGAATATGAGTTTATTGTAAATTTCATAATTGGTCCTTTATAACAGAGAGGTTTCCCTATTTAGTCCTCTATTATCAAATATTACCACAGTGGTCCTTCTTTTATGGGTATCTTTCCACAAATAGTCCTTTTTTTGATCTTCTATCATGTTGGTGTGTATTTGAGGGCTAAAAGTGTAATTTCGCAATGATAATATATCTTCTTTGTCGTACACAATTCCAAAAGCTGTTCTGTTTTCGTCGTTTGTGAATTACAGTCGCTTTCTACTACAACCATAGTCTACAAATGTGGTCTTTCGTCGAAATCCTAGCCCACAATCATAGTCATTATTTTTGTGTTATCCACTTAACCAATATCAGAACACATCACTAGACATAATGTTGATGTCAAATTATACTTTAGCTTTTAAATTAATACCAACATGACAGAAGATCAAAATAAGGACCATTTAAGGAAAGGCACCCTTAAAAAAGGACTACAGTGTAATATTTGATAATAGAATACTACAGTGATTGTCAATTGAATAACTATAATAGAACTATTATAGTTATTTTCAAACAAAGGCATCTTGAAGTTTTAATCTCAAAGTTTTAATATCCAAGACACGGGGAAGAAGGAGAGCTCAAAGCTGCATTATGCATTAATGCTTTCCATCCAGAGAAGTTTAGGATCCCTTACGCAAGCGGAGGACCACTTTATACATTACTCCGGCATAAAGTTTATGTTTTTCTAAATGGGGTAAAAAACTCGTATTACATTTGCTACAATTACATTTTCCCATGGCAAAATCTATACCAATAAGCATAACGAACCTCTAAAAAAATATTTTTTCAATACAATTTTGATAATAACAATCACAAGTTTACTTCCGGTAACGAGGCAGTGCATTTGTTAGCACGTAGTACTTGCTATGATGATGTTGTAGGGGAGTGGCTTGACACACCCCCAAACTTTATTCCTTTGATTTCCTAATTTAATTACTTTGTTTCAAAAAAAACAATCACAAGTTTACACACGGTGCAGAAAAAAGGAAAAATCTACATTATTACTCTAAGGGTCCGTTTGATATACGGAATTGACGGAATTGGAATTGAATTGGAATTTAAATTCCATGGGATTCAATTTCATAAAATTGAATTCTGTCAATTTCAATTCATTTTTTGCATTATCAATTCCAAATCTACATAACTTTTGTGCTACCAAACACCAGAATTGGAATTGAAGTCCTCAATTCCAATTCCACACTTTGAATTCCATGTACCAAACGGGGCCTAAGAAATTTGTGACTTTGCGTTAATAACTTAATATTACGAAATTCAATACATCACTGCTCCCAGAAATTACCTAATTAATTTTAGATCAATACTCTAGGCTGCAAATATAGATATTTTAACTGGTGACGGGATAATTATTAAGTATGAGTTGGTAATTAGTTATAAGAATAAAAAATACCTTGAATGCGTTATAATTACGCCTTCCATGTCGATTTAAAATAAATATGTGTTAAATCTGAAAAATAATATATACTCCGTATTTTAATTGGATAAATTATGAATAGTGTTTCAGATTAAAAGTAGAGAATTTTAAAGTTGATACTCCGTATAACACTAAATTTATATTTAAAGATCTTTCTAATGAATATAAATTTGATTATTAAATATCTACTTCAAAATTCTTTATTTTGTCTGAAATATTTCTTTTCTTTAGTTTTTATCCCTCTTTAGTAACCAACACATGTTTAATAATTTAAAGTCTCCATTTAAAATGCAACGTATTCAGCATAGTTAGTATTCCGGAGTATTGGAGTAAAATTGAGCAATTTATGGGAGTAGTGAGGTTAATTCTTAAATTTTGGAGTATTAATGTAAAATAAAAATTATTTGGAGTATTTATGTGAGTTTTTCCAAATATTTTAGTATTTCTTGGAGTATTTATGTGAAATTTTCACAAATTTCTTGAAATATTTATGTGAATTTTTCCAAATTTTCCAAGTATTTACAATGTTTATATCCCTACTTCTAGAATATTTTAGATAATTCACCATACATTATTGAATATAAAAAAAATAGAGAATTGATTAGACCATTAGTTTCCAACATACAAAGTAGAAAAATTAAACAATTAAGTCCATACAAACAACAACAACTCAGTTAAATCCCACTACAATAGGGTCAGGGGAGGATGTGTGTACGCAGATCTTGCCCTTATTCGAAAGTAGGGAGGATGTTTCCAAGAGACCCCCGGCTCAACCTGCACAAAAAATATGGTAGGGAACACAATATAACAGGATAACAGGATATAACAAGATAAAGCACCAAGTACAATGAAATGAAAGTCCAGCAAGCAAAAGTAGAAGATACCAAACAAACACAACACATAAGTCCATACAAAATAACATAAAATAGTAAGAGAAAAGGAGTACTTCATCCGTCCCAATTTATAGTGTCTATTCACTATTCACAGGATCAAACTTTATTCGTTTTCTTTCGCTATTTTCATTAGCAATTTGATAAAATAAAATGCTATTGTCACTAAAAGTTTTGTAGATCTTTTGATGTAGTATTTTCAAATGTAATTTTTATTTTTTAAATATATACCATTTGTCATATAAAATGATTTGAAAATAATTTCAGTCAAATATCGTAAACGAAACAAACACTATAAATTGGGACGGAGGCAGTAGTAAATTTGAGCATTTGTTAACTTTTAGGAGTATGTCCTTTTTTTAAGAAGCAAGAGTATGTTCTATTTTAGTTTATACTCCAATTATTTAAATTTAAATTCAAATTTTCAGACCCTCGTTTCCAAACTTCATATAGTTGTTGAAATTAAATTAAGGCGTAGAAGTTAAGAGAAAATTTATTTATAGAGCAATGCCGGTCGCGAGGCAAATGCCTTTCACGCCTTGCCACATCACTTGCAAACCAAAATCGACGTGCGTGGCTTTTGGATTCCACCATGTCTTCCGTTCCATGCGCGAGGCAGTTTTGTTAATAATATTTTTTTTCACAAAAAAGCTGATTTTTTCCTAAAAGAGTACACCTATTTTTTTTTGGAAAAAACAATTAAAATGATTTTTAATGATTAAAATATCTTAAAATAATCTAAAAAGTGACAAAAAAAATGTTTACTAGAATCCTTATGATTGATTGAAATATTTTACGTCACCGTCATATTTTATTTCTTTACTTGTTGCACATGACAAAATAATACTAGTGTGTATAAGTTCCTTAATTTTAACCGGAATTCCTTCTCTTTAAGCTCATCTATTGTTACTAATCAGTTTCCTACAATTCTCACAAAACCATCTCTGTAACTTTCACAATTTCCTCAAATCCTCCTACCTTCTTCTGGAATTTTCTTCGGAATGGCGAGACCCGATCAGGAAGGAGCCGTCGACATGTTCATGAGCATCACCGGCGCCTCTCTAGCCGACGCTATTCGGAAACTTGAGGTTGATTGTTTTCGTTTTTTTTCTGTCCATTTATTTCTACTGGATTATTGATTTTCGGTGCTCTTCCGGTTTATATTGCTATTCGTGATTTTTTTTCGTTTTTCAATGATCGTTTCTTATCTGTGTTGACAAGCACGGGATTAGGGTTCATATTTGAATTTTAAGTCCTGATTTGTCCGTAAAGCTGGGATGTTTGTTGCTGTAGTAGTGGTGCAAAATTTGTTTGTGTGTGTGGTCATCATTGTCTTCTCTTGAATGAGCTTAGATTCTTCCTTTTTGTCGATATATTTGAGGTTTTTTATGCTTGGTTAGATACAATTTGAGTACATTTTTCTGGCACTAGTAAGTAGAGAACGAGCTTAGTCTGGCTTTGATGAGGCCTTTCATTGTTGACTGAATATAAGTATCACATCAAGGAAGATGCATTTTAGTTTTGTTTACTCAGTTATTTTGGAACTAACTGGTTCCTTATGAAGTTCTCCACATCTGCTTGTGTTTTTATTTTAAGAAGAAGAAATTGGCACATTGCATGAGGTCCATGTGTAAAATTTCTTAAAATTACTTTTGTGAGAAAGAAATGAAATGTGATTGTGATTCATGGGGCTTATGTGTAGGGATGGGGCCAGGAAAAAAATTCTAGGCAGCTGAAATCAGAAATACATAACAACACAATGCTTGAGCTTTTCTATTTAGGCTTCAGAATGCATTTAATAATAAATCTGGTACTCAATACTCTGTATTTTAGAGTGGGGTCAAAGTAATATCTTGATGCCATGTTAGATGGATAATTGGATACAGAAAGGGGAGATATGCATCATTTTTAGATCCAATCAATATCTTTATTGCTGTATTGTGTTATATTTATTGGACCAAATAAATTGTGTTCAGTGCCTAAGTTGTCCTTTTTAGAAGGACTGTATACTGGAATAATGTCATTGATGAAATGCTCATATGCTGTTCTATACAGGAACATTCCGGGGACCTCAATGCAGCCATTAATGCTCATTTCAGTGAAGGAGATAGAAACATGTGGGTTCTTTTTTTGTCATATCACTGCCCGTTTTACAACAATGCCACTTGTTATGGATTCTTCAATTTTCTTTTTCAAATAAAGAACGGTATTTTCCCTTTTTAGTTATTGCTGTATTTGATATGTTTCTTGACATTTTTGTCCTGCAGAAGACCTGAAGTGCCTGGTTCTGTTGCTCTTTCTGAAGACGACGCTATGGACATTGATGTCCTAAACCCAATTGAGTCTAGACCTCCATTTTCACATTTATCCTCTGATATAACCTCAAATCCATTTTCTCTTCTTGAACCTAACTTCACCAGAAGTATATTTGGTAGTGATTTGGGTTCTACAAGAACTGCACCATTGGTTTCACATCCAAGAGAAGTTAGGGAGATCCCAATTGAAGTGAAGGACGGGGATGGGCATTCAAGTCATTCTGGAAGGGCTCCTACCATTGAGGATGTCACGGACATTGAGTATCATGGTCCAGAGATCCATGGGACTGTCATAAGTGATGACAACGATAATGAAACTCCAAACATTCCAAGTGTGCGCACTTTTACACATGATATAGCTGGTGATGACATATTTAATGACGTTTCTACTGCAGCCCATCACAGACCAAGTGCTCCTGGATTCAATGTTTTGTCAGATTCCTATAATGATATAGAAGAGGAGATGATTCGTGCAGCAATTGAAGCTTCCAAAGTGGATGCTGAAATTTCAAACAAAAAAATTGATGTCTCCAGTGTATGAAGCATAAATCTTAGTCAATGTCCTATTTAATTTGTTTTGTGGGATTCAATCTGATTATTATGCCACAGGGTTCAAGGGATGCTATGTCTCATCAAGAAAATGCTCCTGTTGAGGATGCTGATCTTGCACATGCTGTTTCACTTTCACTGAAGGTTAGGTTCCCCCCTTCTTGTTCTTCTTATACTACCATCAATCATTCATCCTGAAACCTGTTGATCCATCACGTGTCCAGGCTGCTGAGCTGGAGAACGCTAAGGAAGAACTAGAAGGGAAGGGCACATCAGATCATGGGAAATCAGCTTCATCGAGCAGGAGGTAATCTTTTGAGTGTTGCTTACTTGCATAATTAAAGATATAATATTACTCATGTTGGTACTATTATAATCCTTACCTGCTAATGAGTTCTTCTCTATTAGGATGTGCTTGAGTGTAGGAGTGGTTACCATCTCTGCCCAATATAAAACTTTGTTTGGTTTTTTGAACAATGTTCATTAAATCTGACAATTAGGTTTTTTATTAATTACAATACAGAGTAGTTTACCACATGAAACTACTCCTGACCAAATTTTTATTAATACGGAGTATATACTACGTATGTAGCACATGTGAAATACATAGTGTAATTTTATTATGATTGTTGTTATTATACAAGAGTCATACTCGTGCGGTCCAGAAACATTGAAAAAGGAAAACTACTTGTGCATCTCCTGTATAATAGACATTGCAGAAGTGTTTTATCGAGAAATCTTTCTTTACATGTGTAATGATAAATCCAAACAATTAGATCACTTTTTGATGTGCCTTGGCAAACTCCAACCTATTTATCACTGCACTCACAAAAGGAGTAGAAATGACATTTTTTTACAAATAGGTACATGATCCAAAATTTTAAGAAGCCAAGTAAAGTAACCATTAGTGTTAAAAATACATATTGGCTTGTTATATAGCTCTGCCGCAGTCCATGCAAGAAAGGTAAAAATTCCTTAAAAAACATCTGAACCACCAGGTAGAAAAATAACTTCATCCGTAGAACCTAACACAGCATAATAATTTTCTATGTTAGATGTCACCGGCATTTCTTCACCACGTTAGCAGTCTAAGATGAACATTGAATTGAATACATTAAACGTCAAAACGCGGAGTTTATTTTGGGACTTGGGTCATATTTTTTTGTGAGTGAGTGTCTGTGTTTTTGTTATTGTATTGTTTTTTTATTGGAGGAAGGAGATTGTATTTGAATAGTTATTTAAGCTGATGCAGGTTAGTGCGAGGAAGTTCATCTATTGATGATGATGACACTGATGATAAGGAAGCACAACCACTGGTTGGACGCAGGAGTAAACGTACATCTTCCTCTTCCTTTGGCACTTATAGAAATGAAGACAATGCGGCTAATCCAGTTTCAAGTCCTAGACATGGCATTCCTGAGGTTCCTGACAGTGGAACCGATTACCACACTGATGAGGTATCTTCATTTTCCATAGCAACTTCATATCTTATTCATGTTGACATGCTTCGGTTAATATGATCTTCAGTATATAATAGCTACTCTTTTTTTTTTTGTTTCCAAATTCTCCTTTCAAGTGGGGTGGTATCTCATCTGAGGAGCATGATGAAGCTGTCATGCTTGAGGCTGCAATGTTTGGTGGTATACCCGAGGGCAGTGGATATCGTCTACCACATGTGGCACACCATCTTATGCAGGATGGTTCAGATAGATATATGGGGCCTTTTAATTGGCAAACACCTCGCCCACCCTCTCCAACTCTCGTGGCTCAACGTTTATTACGGGAACAACAGGTTTGCATTTGAACCATTTGCTCTTTTTTTAGGGTCCATTTGGAACTCGGGAAATGATTGGAAAAGAATATATAGGGAAAATATGGGGAGATTTGAAATGAAATAGCATGCAGGGGAGAATGAAACATTCTTTCCATTTCAATAAATATTTATTACATCTGCTCAAAGTCATCTTAAAAACCTTTTGCATATTTCATTCTCCTTGGTAAAGCCAAACATACTCTCAAATTTTAGTTTTTGACTGTTTTAGTTGTTTAACATATTTAGGATGATGAATATCTTGCTGCACTGCAAGCTGATAAAGAGAAGGAATTGAAGGCGAAGCAAGAAGCCGAAGCTTCTCTTGTCGAAGAGAGGCGGAAGGAAGAAGAATCACTAAAGAAGTTGGAGGCGGAGAAGGTATAATGATATTGGAACCAATGTTCATTACTCTTATCTTCAAGATAATATATACTCCCTCTATACCTCAATATAAGGGACAACAGATGGAATTACCCAAACCAAGGAAAGTAGTTAATTTTCCCAAGCTCTAAAATAGTATGGAGTATTATGAAATTCCAATTTTAGCCTTCTTTTTATAATGCATCGTAAATGCATACTTTTAAAAAATTAACATGAACACAATACTTCTTAGGTGCAAACAACAAGGAAAACAATGAACACCTCATACTCCCTCTGTCCTAATTTAAGTTGCCTATTCCACACGGTCAAATTTTAATCACTTTCTTTATCATTTTTCATACTCGTTTAATAAAATAATATAGTCATGTCACTTCTTGTTTTGTAGAACTATTAAAAAATACGCAGTAGTTTTTAACTATCGATATATGTATTTTATTTTTAAATTCCACACCAATTTTCAAATAAATTGAATTAAAAATAATGTTAATCAAACATCCTAAACAACGGGCAAATTAAATGGGACGGAGTGAGTAGAAAAGATAATGCCTTAATAAAAGTTAGATTTACACTACATAGTACACTTTTGTAGTGGCCACCTACATTGAATACTTCATTGATTCTCAACTAGTATAATGAAAATTTGTGGAATTGCGACATCTTTTGAGTTTTCTGTCTATAACCGGTGTCTCGAGTTTGCATCTGATTTTCAAGAAGTTCCCTTTACAGTTGGAGTTAATTGTTCATTGAGTGTTCTAATAAATGACCAGGAAACTGAGAGACAGTTAGCAGCCAAAGAAAGTTCGCTACCTCAGGAGCCATCTTCTGACGATGAGAATGCTGTAAATCTTGTTGTACGGATACCTGATGGAAGCAGGAGAGGTCGGCGGTTTCTTAAATCCGATAAGCTGCAGGTGTGTGTGCTCTAAGCAAACAACTCTTCCAGCATTCTGGATTCTGATCTGACTTGATTTGCATTGCTTTAACTACAGTGTCTGTTTGATTTCATTGATGTCGGAAGGGTGGTGAAGCCTGGCACATACAGATTGGTATGATACTTAAAAATTCAAAGCTTTTCTCGTATTATTTGAAATGCTCTCCATTTTATTTCCTGTTTGTTTGTGGTCACCTTACTGCCTTGCCATAGAAATATCGTTCTCTTTTTTTTTGTGGTAAATCTTGAGTTAACAAATTACTCCACCTGTCGACATCCTGTCTGGATTTGTTCGTGTTTAACAGTTCACTTTCCAAAATACATAAAATATACCAGTAAGTATTATATTTGGGTAGTAAATGCATCAAGGGCACCCTTTACATTTTATTTTTACATGAGTAATGTTGCACACCCCTTGACCCCCAAGGAAGAGGAAATTGTTGTACTAGGCTGTTGTCTCTTTCTATAGTTCCCCTACAGCTTCCATTTTTTTTTAAGGGGCAATGAAATATGATTATGTATTATGTGTAGGTGAGACCATACCCAAGGCGCGCATATAGCACTGAAGAGGCTTCCTTAACTCTGAGTGAACTTGGCTTGACCAGCAAACAAGAAGCATTGTATCTGGAGCTCATATAGGTTCTCTTTTACATTTCCTGTTTTTGAGCAAGTCATATATATATATATATATATATATATATATATATATATATATATATATATATATATATATATATATATATATATATATATATATATATAATATGCTAAAAGATTGGTGGGATGTTGGTGGGCGCAAGTGATTAAGTTGAATGAATGCAACATATCACCTGGCTGCTGGAGCAGCACGAAGACGCCTATCAAACTAGAAATGTTTTATTGTATTGTGTGATGCGTTCTTCCTCGACGACTCGTACGAAATTAATGGAATTTGCTGTGATGAGTTGGATCTTGCTCTTAGTATGCGATTTCGGTGGTTGCAGCATCGTGTTAATAATTTATGAACAAGCATATTATGCGCACTTCCTTAGTTCTTTTAAATTGATCGTTATGATTTTTTTCGTACTTTATGTTAAATATATAAAGTATATATTTAGTATCTTGTGTATATTGTAGTTTCCATACATGTATAGTCCTTATTAATTAAGGATTCCTAACATGGTAGGTTTCCTATTATAACTAGGAATACTCTACTATATAATATCCCTTGTATTCACACATGATAATCAATAGAAAATATTCATTCTTCATGGTATCAGAGCATTAAAACATCTCGGCTCCCTCTCAAACCCTAGCCCTCTCTCGGCCTTCTCTCTCTTTCGGCGATCTCCCTCTCTCTGCCGTCCATCCTCTCCTTCTTCGGCAGTCCCCCCTCGCCGGCAACCATGGCCGAAAAATCCTCCGTCACCTCCGACGATAACAACACCATCAAATCTCCCCATCTTGCCTTCACAACAATATCAAACATCAAGCTCCATATTCCCGTCCAGCTTAGCATCTCGGAACCAAACTACAAAAAATGGAGCTGACTCTTTCGCCTCCTCGTTCTCCGCTTCAATCTCATGGGATACCTTGACGGGACCACCATCGCCAAATCGGCCGATGATGCAGAATGGTATCAATTCGACGCTCTACTTCAAGGATGGATCTTGTCTACCGTCTCCGACGAGGTCTCCGATCTCATTCTTGCAAACAGCCCCACCGCCGCTGCTCTATGGAAAGCCATCTACAAATTGTTCCATGATAATAAGCACGCCCGGGCGATGCAACTGGAGCACCGTTTCTGCACCACCGTCAAAGGGACGAAGACAATAAATGAATATTGCCATGCTCTCAAAAACCTAGCCGACTACCTTGATGACGTCGACGCTCCGGTGACCGAGCACGCTCTTGTACTACAAGTTCTTCAAGGATTGCCGCACGACATTCGGGGACAGGTCCACTTTTTGCAGTACCAAAATCCGTTCCCGACGTTCTTGGATGTCCGCTCGGCCCTCCTCCTGGTCGAACAACAGCAGGCTGAAGCCCTCCCCAGCGCCGGCCCGTCAATCGCCCTCCTCAGCTTCAACGGCGGCGGCAGATCCTCGACGGGCGGCAGTCAGTCACGGCAGGGCAGCAACTCTGGACGAGGCAGTTTTGGCGGCACAAATCGGGGAAACTCTGGCGGCTATCGAGGGCGTGGCCGTGGACGTGGACGTGGCGGCCCGAATCAGCGACAACCCGGCCCAAATACCTGGCAGTTCCCCACCCCCTCACCCGGCCTTCTAGGCCCACGACCCTACTCCCCCTACCCGGCCCAAGCCCATGTGGCCCACTACCCGCACCCAGCCCAATACCCTACCCCGCCACATACCCAGTACCAAACACCCAACCCGTACTACCCAACCCAGTACCCAAACCCGAACCCCCTTCCCCCACCCCCGTATCCGCAAACCCCCACCCCCACCTCACCCTACCCGCAACACTACAGCC